AAATATTTGACAATATTTACTGTATTTTTGATCAAATAAATGCAGCCTTGGTAAGAATAAGAGACTTTCAAAAACATCCTGACACCAGATTCAACTTTTGAACAGTAGTGTAGTATATGATGAAATATTTGTGATTTACATGCTCACAAAAATGATATTTTGTAAGAATACCAAACAATTGAATGGCCATTAAACGAGAAAGGTACTTTTTGCTCCATAATTGTATATTTCCAGCCAATGTAGTCTAGCTGCAGGGGTTAACAGGGCCGGCCAAACCTCGACCCCTTGTTTATACGCAGATGGTATTAGGGGAAGAGGATATTCTCAGACTGCATCTTAATAGACAAAAATTAGTATGTGTCCCTGTGTGCAAGGTGAGTCATCTATAAAGTCCATTTTAAATGTGTACATATCCAAATGTGTACATATCCTAAAAATTCATTTTAGCATATGGATGAGCTCAAAGATACTGTTCCAGACAAGCACTAAAAGCCACAAAACTCCCATTTTGTTTTAAGAGCTGTATTCTCCCAGTGGCTCTCAGATACTCACAGTAGAGAATAGTACCATGAGGTGTCTTGCTCTTCATTGTCAAATACATGGTCCTCCTGTCTTCAGAGGAATGGTTCGTAAAGTGAGTGTCTGACTGAAACAGGGATGTCAGAGACGGCAACTCCAAGAAAGAGGTACCATCAAATCGGGGGAAAAAGACTGTGGTATCTGAAAAAGAAGAGAAAAATAACAATAATTCTGTTGGTAAAAGGTAAAGCTGACAATTCAGTTAAAAATCCAAACTTTGCACCATTTTGTCCTTAATAGTTAGGGATTTTAAATGCATGTGGTATGACGAATAATTTTTTATGTTTTTAAAAGAATTTATTTGATCAAATATAAGTAATAACAGAAATATTGTAAAATAGTAAAACAATGAAAAGAAAACTGTTTTTGATTGGAATACGTTTTAAAATAGAATTTATGCTAAGCTGAATTTTCAGCATCATTACTCCAGTCTTCAGTGTCACAAGATCCTTCAGAAATCATTCTAATATGCTGATTTGCTGCTCAAGAAACATTTTATTATTATCATAATAAAATTATTAAAATTAAAAATTAAAATGATTGATATGTTGAAAACTGCTTGGATTTGCTCCTTAATTTTTTTTTGTAAACTCTGATATACTACCATTTAAAGGTTTGAGCTTAAGTATGATTTTATATTTAAAAAATGCTAAAATGTATTTAGTCAGGACGCATTAAATTGATGAAAAGTGACAGTAAAGATATTTATAATGTTACAAAAGGTTTCTATTTCAAAGATATGATGTTCTTTTAAACTATCTATTGATCAAAGATAAAGATTAGATATTTTTTTAAATATAAAGATACATATCTTTTCACAAAAATTAAGCAGCAAAAGCTGTTTTCTACATTGTCAATAAGATTTATTATTAATAACTGAGGAGCAATATTCATTGCTAAAATTAAGCACCAAATCAGAATATTAGAATGATTTCTGAGGTACTACTTGGCACTGAAACGAAAATAATTGCTCATCACATGAATAAATTACATTTTATAATAAAATAGAAAACATTTATTTCTTAATTGTATACTGCATTTTTATATAACATTGTTGCTGTATTTTTGATCAAGCAAATGCAACTACATATATAATTAACAAATTGGTTTTAGACAAAGTATAGCATTCATATTTTTTAGTCGTCTGATTTTTAGTCATCAAATACTAAAATGCATAAGCTACAGTTTATTTGACTTTTGACCGGTTTACTAGAATAACCTCCAAGCTGAAGGCACAGTCAAGAGCAGTAATGTCTGCCAGACTCTGATAAGTAGCCTACACGCAAAGACAGGAGGATCCTGTCAGGACGTGTTGTGGAGCAATGTTATCTCCCACAGGGTGACAGACGACAGTGACTTTAGGGGAAGAGGAAGGTGGGTGTTGTGTGCTGGTCAGGACCTCTCTGCAGCAGTAATGATCTGTTAGCTTTTACACACAAGGCAATGTATGCAGCACGACATTGTCAAGGGATATGTGACAAGACTTCAACATGGCCCGTCCGCCGTGAACGTTTGTCAGGGTGTTGCTAGAACAGCGGTCTATATACCACACATTAAGGCTGATTCAGCAAGAGGCAGGGTGCAGTTCTCAGGGAGGCCAGGAAAGGCAATTTACTGTACATGCCTTCTGCATTGACATACTAAAACACATCTAACTAAGCAACACAAGGGACCAGTTTTGGTAGAGACACTAGTAGAGATATTGTAAAGCTGAGATTTTTTTAAGCTGTCATTTTGAAGAATAGTTCAACATTCCAGTATTCGAGTAATATGTATACAACTGAAGAGAAACATAAAACTAAGGATAAGAAAGTAAAAACCCTGTTGAAAAAAACAGCATATGCTGGTTAGGTATGTTTTGAAGCATGGCTGCTGGTTTAAGCTGGTCCTGATGCTTTTTAACACGGAAACCCCCTGATCTTACGATTTCCAACAAATCCTCAGAAAACAAGAAAAAAAATCTAATCAGTAAATTCTGTAATTTCTTATTTTGTTTGTACATTTTTACACAATTTTTCCTTTACAACACTATTTTACATATTATTAAAATGTGTATCATATACACATTCATCGTTTTATATATTTTTAAACTATCTTATTTATTAAAACATAACAAACTGACATGGTATTTTTTGTGTATTATTTATTAACAGAATAAAAATTTGTGATTAATCTTATTTATGACCAATCTTTTGAAAGCAGAATGAAACTGTAAACATTTCAGATTCAGTCAATTTATTTATTGAGTACAACAATATTAATATTTATATATTTAATACATACAATTATTGAATTAGAAATTTTCACAACTTCAATCTGCAAATGTTTCCATTTACAAAACTATTTCATTTACACATGAAAACATTTCATAATCAAACAATACTTCCATGTATAAAGATTTGACATAGGACTGCTAAAAATAAAAACATTATAAATATGTGTAAAATATTATCTGGAAGGTTCACACTACTGTAGATTGTAATGTTTGAAAACAGTAAAAACGTTACATTTTGTAAAATGTTTTTATTTATTCAATGTATCAATATCAATATTAATATTCCCCAGACCCCAAGGATTTACAGCTCATAGACATATTAAATCAGATTATTTTTCTTTGCTTCCTATATATGGTCTGGTCTGGTTGTCGTTGCAGACGCAGAGCTTCAGATAATGATTAGCATGATACAGCGTTTGGGTCTAACATTGTGTCTAGCTGCTTGTTACAGATGCTGCTTAGGCAGAGGCTTGACTGCAAACCATCCATCCTGAAAATAATGACAGTGAGAGACAGAATATCCTCCCAAACATCCTATGAAAAATTAATGAGTCTTTGATGACCCTTTTGGATCTGCATTTATGTGACACTGTGCTGCTTTTGTTGTTAAACCACAGAGACTCTGTTTCAAAAAAACTTGCTTAAATATGAGTAATGATAAATGCACTGTATCTATACGACACTGTAGCAATACTGTAGCAGAATTTGCCATTTTCACTACAGAAACGTGTCTATAATCAGATTTTCAGGACGGACGATAAATCTGTTTAGTAGAACCAGAAGAATCTGTCACACTTGTGTACTAGGATAAATCTCGCCTGTTGCCCTACACTCTTAAAAATAAAGATGCTTCATGATGCCATAGAAGAACCTTTTTGTCTAAATGGTTCCATAAAGAACCTTTAACATCTGAAGAACCTTTCTGTTTCACAAAAGGTTCTTTGGGGCGAAAGAAGGTTCTTCAGATTATAAAAAGATAAGAAAGATATGTTTTTTTAAAGAACCTTTGACTGAATGGTTCTTTGTGGAACCAAAAATGGTTCTTCTATGGCATCGCTTGAAGAACCTTTTGAAGCACCTTTATTTTTAAGAGTGTAGAGAATATTACTGTTCTGCTCCTCACATCAAGCACCAACAGTGACAATAATTGTTGTGCCAAGTGGCAAACTCTAATTTGACTCAGACTAAAGGAAGAGAAACTCTACTGCCAAATCCCTAGGCTTGTTATAATAATTCTCATCGAAAAATTTTGTCAACAAGTAAACAGCCCTCAGACTCCACCCTCTCCGGCACCCAGAAGGGCCGCCGACACCGTACATAGTTGAGGCTGAGAAAGCGGCCAAGCAAATCAAGCGATTCCCAGTGCTCCACGCAGATTGGACTGCAGTCAGACCGAAGGAGCCTTTCAAAAGGCTTCCCGATTCCTCTAACTCAGCAGAAAATAGTGCACACTCTCAGGGCTGCTGTTTAAGGGGGAGATTTACGAGGCTGATGAACCGTGAGATAAGTACAGATACTGTCTTGATGGATAGACGAAGGGAAAGAAAAGCAAACGACCGGCTGAAAGAGGTGACTGTGACTTTTTCTTGGGCATTATAGACAAACTCAATGCAGCAAACAATAGATACTATGCTCTCAGTAGTGACAAAGACTAACTGATTTACAATGTTTACCATGATTTACAATTTTTTTGAAGTTTTAAATAAAACAAAGATTACTGTAGTATGTTTTACAAGGACATACTATTTCAGTCTTTCTACTTAAAAAAAAAAATCACGTTCTTGACACTGTCGCCTTAATATTCAGTAATATTACTTATTTGATGGCACTGACACTATCAGATGGGAACAAAACTTGAACTGGAATAAATCTAACAATGACACTATTGTAAAGCTGCTTTATAGATTGATCGAATTTGTTCATAATTGACAAATTCTGCAACATCGACACTGTTTTTGATCTGAACTGAATCAGCACTGAATGACTCAAGCCGAATAACTTGAACTGAATCAACTGATTGCACTGAATCAACACTGAACTGACCTGAATAATGACACTATTGCCTTCTGTAGAGCTGCTTTATAGCTGAATCAAATTTATTCAATTGACGAATCTTGCAACACTGACACTTACTGACCTGAACTGAATCAACACTGAACTGACTGGAGCTGCATAATGAAACCACTGTCTTCTGTAAAGCTGCTTATAGCTGAATTGAACTTGTTTCATAATTGAACTTTACACAGTTATTGAACCAAATTGAATCAACACTGAACTGACTGGAGTTGAATGATGACACTATTGTCTTATTTGGATTTGCCACATATTTGATAAAACTTGACTGATTCGGTTACTTTCCTTTTTAATACTGTGAAGCTGCTTTGAAACAATGTAGTTTGTAAGAACTATATAAATAAAGGTGACTTGTTCAATTCGAGGAATTATTTAATACAGTGTCTGCTTGATTATGTGATATTTCCCATGAGGGAACTACAAATGAGTCAGCCCTGAATATAGCAACCTCCTTGCTTTGCATAGTGCCCAGAGGGACAAATAACATTTCAGTGGATTACTTAATTATCTGCAAATTAGCACTTTGAGAACAAATGGCGGAGGTGCCGAGAAAAGGGCATAAGAGCGCAGAAGTGCTGAGTGAGTTATCGAGAGAGGTCACCGGTTGCCTTCCTGCTTTTTATAGGACTGTAGGCTCATCATGGACAGTTAGTTTCATCAATAAATGCTTTAAAAAAAGAAGCAGTCACTGCAAAAAGCCTGATCAAGAAACAGGTAAATGGATAAAGTGACAGACAGCTGTAAATTCTCTCCGAAACCCAGAGTGCACCATATGCACAGCGCAGAGCTCTTTTCTCCTTTAGGGACTCGTATGTCAAGATTATGCCCCAAAATAAGTCAGAAAGCAAGCTGAGCAGTTTTATACAGAGGACACCATCTTGTATGTATACTAATGCCCTGACACGAAACCCTGTCTGTATTATTACTCTTGAGGTGTAAGGCACATGTGCATCCGTAGCTCCCAAAGGAGGGCACAATCTGACCAAGCTGTGAAAAATGCTGAGAGGCAAATAAAGTCATTTCATCTTGATGACAACTTGTCATTAGGAACTTTGCTGACATCACATTTTTTTGACTATTCAAATTTCACTTGTATATGTGTTGGTATTGTATTTTGCTCCCCGTATTTTTTGGAATATAATGTAGGACTGAGTGTACAGCATTTGCATAAAATGGTCAAAATGTATAGTAGGTAGGGTTCAGTTTGTTAACATTATGCATTAGGTATCAAGTTCTTTAAATGTATTTAAACATTTTTTAAATCTAGGTTAATGTTAATTTATACTGTTGTTCATTGTAAATGATATTTGTTCATAATATACTGTACAGTGCCATTCAAAATTTGGGGTCAGTATGATTTAAAAAAATAAATTAATACTTATTCATCAATGATGCATCAAAGTAATCAAAAGTGACAGCAAAGACATGTATAATGTTACAAAAGATTTCTTTCAAATAAATGGTGTTCTTTCCAGCTTAAATTAATAAAAAATCCTGAAAAAAACATACATACATACACACAAAAGAAAAAAGAAAAAAAAAAGACACTGAACATGTGACCATGACACTGAAGACTGGAATAATGGCTGCTGAAAATTAAGCTTTGTCATCACAGGAATAAACCATGTTTTAAAAAAAGTTAAATTATAAAATTTCACAATAATTAAATGTTATGCTTTTTGAGCATAAGAGCCTTATTTCAAAACATTACAAAATCTTACTGGCCCCAAATTTTTGAGCAGTATAATTACAGACTCTCCACAACCGGAGAAAATAATGATTTAGCTAGATGCTTTTGCAATGAGAAAACATTACAAAAAAGCTCCTCACCCACCCAGTACCGATTTCCAATACGAACAGCAAGGAAACACTGCAGTTGATTTAACACACTCACTTCACTCTCAAGTTGTAAAAATCCCACCAGGGAGACATAACAGAGAAAAAAAAATCACATAAAAAACCCACCATAAAAACTCTTTTGGGCCCTTTGCAATTAATGTACAGTAGAAAGAGATTTAATTGCAAACTTCACAGGGGTCAAGATGGTCTAAGACATGGAAATGCATCTTTAATTTTGTGGTCACTAAACACGGCCTCGCTCAAAATGCATTATTTCAAATTACTTTAAATTCATTTTGATTCAGAAAGAAAGTAAAAAGTGGTACTGAATGAGTAGATGAGTTGTTTATTCTGTAATTATTCAGACTATTTGCACGAGTTTGAATAAGCGGATGTTATCCTGTATAACTGTACTGCATTTTACAAGAAAATATTTCAGTCTTTCTACTTCAAAATTTCATGTTTAATTCAATGTGTTAGTTACTGTTTCCAAACTGGTATATCATCTCTGAGGCCAGTTGTCCTCTTGTTTGTCATGTGACATTGAAGAGATTGAGTGTGACCCTATCGCCCCCTTTCCATCATGAAGTCACAGACACACTCTCATCTTTCTCACCCCTTCACCCTCAGGATGTTTGCCGCTGTTTTGCTGTGACATGTTTGCTGAAACTAGCTGGTAAACGAACAGAGTAATTATGAGAAGGCTAAATTATAGTGACACGGTCAGTTTATCTATATAGAATTTTAGAGATCATGAAAAATATTTCCCCCAATTTTTTCCTCTTAGAACTTTAAGAACATGCTGTCTTATGTTTGATTTCTATGAAGGTTATATTAACAGAATAATCAGTGAACTTTGAATTTTGTTTCTTCTACCCTAGTCATGCTTCTAATCATGCCTTATATTATTATTTAACCGCACTATTACTGATGGTATGCTTATAATATCTTTTTAGTTTCTTATACTTATTCACTATAAAGCCTGTTGTTGCAGTGTTTCTTGTTTGTTTGTTTTCCAAGTTCTTTATCTGTCTTTTCTACTTTGAATGACCATTTGATACCTACAGTATATAAGGCTGACATGGTTAAAAGTAAAAAAAACTAAAACAAATACAGCTTTGAAACTAAAAGCTCTGCTGTGCATGGCTGGGAAAATGGAAAAAAAATAACAAAAAGGAGAAAAAGGAGAAAGCAGATTCTTTCAACTACTGTCAAATGTACTTAAAACACAAAATTGTTATAATAATATTTTATAATATTATAATTAGCAAATACAAATAAAAAAACTGTAAAAATGTTTTGAAAATGTATTCAACAGATTATGGCATTTTTGATTTAGTTTTCATTTCAATTGTTGGATATAACTGAGAAGGTCAAGACCTCTAATGTAGGATATACTTTTACAACTTTGTAAACCATTTAATGAGTGCAAAAATTGCTATTTTTCATCCTAGCCCACTTTTATGTTAGATAGTTCTCAATAAAATTTTTGTGCCTCTAAAGCTTTTTTCCATAATCAGTATAGTAAACAAATGTGAAAATACTGACAGCTTCATCTGAAAAGGTCTTTTTTTTTTCCTCATACAGGAACTGAACTGATCTGTTCACAAACACATCAATCAATGTCTGGCAGTGCACAAAAATAGAAACACAAGAGACGAATAAATGATTTTTAATTAATTTGAAGCCAGCTATCTCACCGCCAGAGCATCTGAATGTTACATCAATAGAGACACATGAACTTGTAGCTCAGCAAATTAGCTCTTTACCTGAGCACTGGCTTATTGATACAGGGCAAAACATGGTGAGTCAGCAGGAGCTGGAGCAAAATACAATAAAAAAAGCACATTACAATAAATACTCGACTGGTGGTGACAAGGTGGTGATTTTGATAAAAGGAACGTCCATTGTCAGTTCAGAGTTGAGTAAATTGTTATAGTGTGAAATAATCTGCCATGTTCTGCAGTTCAATACAGTACGTTGAGTGTCAGTCAATATCAAATTGGGTTCACTGTGTAAAGGCTTTCCACTCACCAGAATTTAATATCATTCATGTCTTATCCTGACATGAGGCAGAGGAAGTAAAATTAATCTGGAGAACACAGGTGACAGGGTCACCATCTCATTTGTAGTAGGACTCAAGAGGTGAGCAGATAGAGGGGTTTCTGACATTACAACTTGCTTACATGAACCTTACTTTAATCACATCACAAATTATTTAAAGTGATCCCTGGTCCAACAACAGGGCAAGATTTCTATTTTCCTTTGCGAAAATGTGCCGTGCATCTGCCTCCAACACTGCTTCTGTAGCCAAAACATTTGGTGGGAGATCACTGCCTGCTTTAGCAGGTGAGGTACTATAGTATCTATCATTACAATATCAACCGAAATGTCGTTTTAAAGCTCCACACCAAATTAGACTGTTCATTAGAGTTAAATTAAGGGATGTAGGCTAATTTAGTGGTTCAGTATTTCAGTAGGGAGGATTTCCGCTGTGATGTGGAGGGGAACTAGAGGTCTCACCTTGTTCACACAGGCGTCCTGTGAAGTGCAGAGGACAGTCACAAAAGAAAGACGAGGCTCCGCTGGGCAGAGAGATGGGCCGACAGGATCCGCCGTTGAGACAGAGCCCCTGTGGGCAGACAGGTGAAGGCTGGGTGGGTGGGATACGCCCATCAGGAGGGGTTTCCACTGTGATGAACAGAGGAGGGGAATCTGTGGAGTTTGCTGGTGGGTCGTGATGCCATGGAGACCTACAGTAAAACATGCGAGCAAATTGAAAAGGCGAGGATTAAAAACTGAACTACCATAGGGCATATTTACTAATCAGCAGGCCCGGACTGGCCATCAGGAGAACCGGGCAAATTCCTGGTGGCCTGGAGGCTGATTTGGCCCGCTGCTCTGTTTTTTATTTTAATTTTTTAGCTATTATTATTATTAATAATATTTTATATTTTTGCCTTCTCAATGTACCAAAGTGATAATTTCTGATTTTGTCATACGATAATAAATCAATAATAAATAATATATCGGTTCGTCTTGACTGGCAGCGTTGCGCTATACGAATCGGCTCACATCTGTTCCGCGCTTCAAACGACGGTTTCGAACAGAGTCGATGCACGGGACTCAATGAAGGAGAGGAAGCGGCCAGAAGCAGCAGCGAAATGTAGCAAAAATGCCTGTTCAGGGCTTCAGGTGCAGGTCAGTTTCATCTGTAAATACGCTAAAATGTTTAGTCTTTATTAAGCTAGTTGAGTATTAAACTGCTAGCACCTGTTAGGCTATCAGGGGCATCCTATTTTTAACATAATTCAGAATACTGTTCTAAAGGACATCATTATCGGTTGGAAAGTTACATTAATAAATTTAGCAGACAGATATTCTCATGGATTTATTGTATAGGAAGGGAGGGAGCTTGAGCAGACAGCAACACAAAAATATCACAGCCTAATAATGCAATAGTGTGTTCAGTATTAGGATTTTTCCAAAAAAGATATTGTACTGATTTAGACTTTTAGGCACTTTAGAAAATTGGATATATTTGTATGAAACATAGGTTTGTTAAATCTCAGGTATTTAAGTCATTTTAAGATAAATAACATTCTGTGATAACAAATTGCAATGAGGTGGTCGTTTTGCAACAAGGTGGACACAGTTCTGTTCATAACAGTAGACCTGCTGGTCAAGAAGTGACAGGTACAATAAAAAAAGGGAGAGACAGAGATATTGGGGAAAATGAAGAAAAGTAAAAAGGGAAGTGAAGGTGCAGTTCAAGAGACAACCTTTAATTATTGTTCACGGCCTCAGATCAATGATTTAGACCTTTTTATGTGATGGCCATTTAAATAATAGGGTTATCTGTGGTTTCAGAATTTGTAGTGGGTCAATAGGCTATATACAGAAAAAAGAGGCCAAAATGGTACAACAACATGTCACTGGAGCAGTAACCTTCAAAGGGATGTATTTTTGCCTTTTACCCCTAATAGGTTATGTTTACGAATTACTATAAGGTACTAATATGTACCTATTAGGGGTAAAAAATGTACAAAGATTTTCTTTTAAGGGTACTGCTCCAGTGACAAGCTGTTGTGCCCCAAAAGGTACCATTTTGGCCTCTTTTTTTCCAGTGTGGCCTGGATGAGTGTGAGATTTCCCGGCCTGAAATTGCATCCCAGTCCAGCCCTGCTAATCAGTAATCACTTATAATTATTTCAGAGCACAAAAACATGTGTTTAATTCACTAACCACAAGCAATCCCGTTTAACCAGGCAAATTATTCACAATTACGCACTTATTCATGAAACTCAGTGATATCTGAGCCTAATCACATCAATTTACTGTAAAAATGCAAGTGGTAAATGAAATGTCATTTAACAGAGATGTTTGTGGGTTGTGTGGCATTCATAATTTAATTGAGAATGCCTTTTAAACTCCAAACCAATTCCTGAATTTAATTGGAATTAAAATTAATTTGAAATGTAAAGAAATTTACCTAACTGTAATTTTTAACTAGAAAGGTTTTGTCAAGATAAAACTTGTTGACGGACTGACGGACGGAAGGACAGACATTTGTGTTTCTCATTGTGTTTTTCTTGTGTTTGTGTTAACACTCAGAAATGACCCACAAGATCAGGATTTGCATTTATCTGATTTGCATAATTCCTTTAATGAATCGGGCACTAAAACAATGCAGACTGCACATGCAAATAAGCAGGGCTATCAGTGGGTGACATTCATTCTTAGTGAATCCCCCCTAGTGTTTTTATAAGAGGGGCAAAGGATATATAGAGCAACCTTGTCCACAATCCTATGTCTTATAATTACACACAACACAGACAAGCTCCATTTGTAAAATTAAAACCATACTCACATGCATTTTAAAAAGTCTATATTAATTATCCTGTTCAACACAAAATAGATGTGCATCAGTATGGACATAATGACCTAAATCTAAAGACAGCCGGGCCCATTGAGTAAAAATCAATTCAGACATCTGAGATGTTATTTGACTATATGCTGTCATTTTATGGGAAAGAGCAGGTCCAACATTCTGCTAAACATCTTGTTTTGTGTCAGACGGATGAAAGAATGGCTATGGGTTCAGAACAACATGAGTGTGAGTAAATCATGACAATGTGAAATTTATGTCAGCATCATCACAATGAGTCCTAAAAAATATATTGGCCAGTTTCTCTGACTCAGCTTAACCCATGATTTATGACTGGACATGCACACTTTATCATGTTAAACTACCCTAATTATCATAACTAAACAAATAAGGCATGATAGAGTAAGACGCTTTCAAACACACACCGTTATGCCTACATATCAATCACTTCTCCAATTAGTAACCACTAAATCAGCTCACAGAACAACTATATATCATTCAAATGGCCCTGATTAATGTTTCCTTTCAAATCATGTGAGACTATACCATGTAAGATGCCACAAATTGTCTTATTCGTTTGGAAACCCCATCTCTCCAGTCCACTGCAATTCCAGATAGATGACAGAACAGAATAAATAATAAAGTAAGATAATATAGAGAGAGGGGAAATCTACCTCATTAAAATATTAACTAGTCTGTGTGGTTCCCAATTTCAGGTTCTGTTCAAGACTCATTTCCTGCTGCTTTGTAAAAGAGGGTTTTTACAGAAATAGCCAAAAAGCCAAAATGAGTGCTTGCATTTTCTTTGGAACAATAACACATGATGTGTGAAGCCAAACACTTAAACATCTCCAGAATCTCACTCTTGATGAGCAATTTGCACACAGCATAAACGTACAGCACCTGTGCACTCAAGTGACGTGCTAAATTATAGATTTCGTCTTTGAGAGACAGCTGACAAGAGTGGCAAATAGCACATCCAAGAGCCATGAGGCAAGAAGGAAAAATACCACTTATGGCAGCAACATTGTGGAGTGAAAATGTAACTTTCCTTTTATTTTTATTTTTTTAAAGTTTAACTACACTGTAGGCTATTAGGAAAAAAGAAAACCTACATAGCAGCTACTTCAAGGGGCAAAATCTTAAAATATATATTTTCAAATTCAGAACTAACAGATTATGTAATTTATTATTCAAACATAGCAGTATTTATACAGCTAAATAACAATGAGGCTTTTTGAATAAATGAATGAATCTTAATGGCATTAAACAGAAAAATTCACATTTTATTTATTTATTTTTAAATGGTCCTAAAAAATCTAGAATGTACTGTAACAGTTGAAAACAGTGATGAACTGCAAAGTTTAATATTTCTCTATAAAATCTGAAAACATAAACTTACCTGGATTGAATTTAAGATAATTCAAATATCTGAGGTACCAATTAAGACATTTATGATTTTTTAAAAGAAAATCTAAATTCATTAAAAGAACATTAAAGACAACTTTACATTATAGACAAACATTAATGGCAAGGTTACATTTCATTACAAACCAAACACTTATCTTAAAGGGGTCATATGATGCTGCTAAAAAGAACATTATTTTGTGTATTTGGTGTAACGAAATGTGTTTATGCGGTTAAAGGTTCAAAAAACACATTATTTTCCACATACTGTACATTTTTGTTTCTCCTTTATGCCCCGCCTTTCTGAAACGCGTCGATTTTTAAAAATTCTGAAAAGCGAGGTGTGCTCTGATTGGCCAGCTATCCAGTGTGTTGTGATTGGCCGAATACCTCAAGCATGTGACGGAAATGTTATGCCCCTTACCATACTGTGATGCCTTGTCCCGGCCGGAGCGACGAGACAAAAACATTAAAACCCATTAGAAACTAGGCATTTGTTGCATCCAGTGGGGACATATTTACGGATTATAATGACTTATACAGTCTTTTTACACGTTGCATTGCATCGCGCCGCGTAAACATAAAACCATGTCTGCATTTGTGATCGGAGAAATTACAAACTACAAACGTTACTCTACTCAGCTCAAAACTCACGTTTGAATCGTCAGTGGCAAATTCTTTAAAAAAACGTACTTACAGTCTGTGAGTAAGAACAGCCGGCATTGTAGTCTAATCTCCCAGGATCAGTAAACAGTCCTCCATAAAATGTGCTGCACACATCTGAATATTTGGGTTGAAGTGTTCTGGAACAGTGTTGTAAATACAACTTAACCACTGATTTCTAGTCGTGTCCTCTTTTGGAAGGCCAAACAAAGTAGTTTTGCTTTCACAACGAAACACAGCGTCACACAAGGCGGGCTAGAGTTAGCGGAGGCTGGAGGCCTAGAGTGAGCGGCGTCCGGTGGGCTTGAGAACGGCGTGGCGGGCGGGCTTGCGGTAACCACATGTGACAACCCCGGGCTGGACTCCACTTCATCCACAGTGAAAGCAGATTCGGCGAATCAACAGTGCAAAGTTGATGTATTTCCTCAGCGACCAGCACGGATCAGCTCTAGGCATGACGAAGCAGATAGCGTCCTCTTTTGGAAGACCAAACAAAGTAGTTTCGCTTTCACAACAAAACACACAGCGCCTTCACGACATGGCGGCGGCGGCAACAACAATACTACAGCGAGAATAAAAGTTACGCCTTCTTTCTTTGCGTGAACATTTGGGCGGCATTATGCAAATCTTCCCACATCGTGACGTAGACATGTGGGGGTGTGCTAGAACGAGTCGTTTTAGGTCGGCGTGGGTGACTCTTAACTTTTATAAAGAATATCTCTTTGGATTTGAGACTTTAGTCTTTGCAACTTTACAGATCTGCTTTATGCACCAAGAGCTTGTAACACTCCAAAGAGAAAGGAAAAATTGAAATCGCTTCATATGACACCTTTAAGTTGATTTTTGTGGTGTTGTTGTTATTTTTCAAAAGTTTGGGGTTGGGAATTTTTTTTATCTTTTTGAAAAAAGTGCAATTTTGAAAAAATTGATGTTTTCTATTTTAATATATTTTAAATAGTAATTTATTGCTGTGATGACAAAGCTGAATCTTCAGCAACCATTACTCCAGTCTTCAGAGTCACATGATCCTTTAGAAATTATTCTAATATGCTGATGATGTGAGAGTTGAAAACAGTGATGAACTGCAAAGGTACAAATGCTACACTAGAATTTTTACTGTGACAAATCAGCGAATAATTTCTTTTTGAACAAACTGACTCACTAATATGAATCGTTTCAAATGAACTTAGACTTCCAAACACTGCCCCAAAACTGTATTGATTCCTGATGCAAAATCAGATTCAATTACCTGCAGTTGTCAACATTGTTCCTGGCAATGGCATGGTCCACACGGAATCTTCTGAGCGTATTAATTTCTATTATTTCAATGCAGCCAGTATAGTTGTGGAAAGGCTCAGCTTCCTGAGGGAACACAGAACAACAACAAAGTCTCAAGCAGTTTCTTCAGAGGAAAACAGAAAAACATCTCAGGCCTAAGGGTGAAAATGAAAAATGGCTACAAAGCAGCTATTCTGGGAGAAGAAAGTGCCGTACAACAAAGAGGTTGCATTATAAGGCATTAAGTTCACCCAAAAATGAAAATTCTGCCATTATTTACTCTCATGTCATTCAAAAAAACAAACAAACCTGTTTTATTTCTCCTTTGGAACATAAAAGTAGATATGCTAAACAACTGTTATAGAAATCTTTCCATACAACAATTCACAGTGACCAAGGGCTCTCAAGGACAAAACACACATCAACAAAAGTAGTTCACATGACTTTTGCACTACATTCTAAGTCTTGACACAATGCAATGCTTTGTGTGATGAAAATACTTGCATTTTAGTTATTCACAGATTCAATTTTCACTTTTGCCTTTTTTTGTTTTTTGAAAAGGCGTTGGACATTATGAGCTGTTGTTGTATGTCACAAGCTGCATAAAGACTCTTCAGAAATGTCACCTTTTGTGTTACATAAAACATTTAATAGCATTAGCATCTGTTTAAAATTGATAAAGGAACGTGCATATTTATTAATACAATGACACTTTCACCTAATAAACATATATTTATAAATGCCACAAATGCTACTGAATAGTTTTAAAGGCAATAAAGATTATTCAAATAAGACAGAAATGGCTCAAACAACATTACCAGATGGACAAACTGCACTGATGACAAAAAAAACTAAACAAAACAAAAAAACCCCTCTATTTCATTATCAGCGCTATGAAAAGAGAAAAAAGCATATGGATCCAATCTTTGTTGTCTAGGTGAAGACATCTCAACATCTCCTTTTTCTTCTCCTAACAGTATCTCAAGTGCCCGTGACCTGCTTCCAGCCGCCTGAAGGAAAATGAAAAGTGTGCCTGCTAGTTTCTCAGGGCTTTATCACTGTCAATATGTAGACCTTGACAGTTCTTTGAAGCCCTCTGAACCAGTTTTTAGTAACCTGAAAATTACAGGAAAATTCATGTCCATTTTAATCCAATTTAAGTCAGATGCGTCTCTGCGGTAACTGGTCAGGTTATTGTGTAACATGACAAAGGCAAACCATCAATCTTTCCTTGTTTCCACATTATAATCAGAGTTCCCAGCTGGCCTAAGAATTACAGTGACTTTTCAAACTTTCCAGTAATCAACAAAGTGTAATGTCACTATCTTATCACTAAAGATAGTGTTAACTCTAGTTCTCCAATTTCAAGGTGGAATTATATAGTAAAAAATTTATGTCAAGTTAAAAATAATTATATATATAATTGTGATAGCTATCATAACTTACCAATTAAAACAGTTCAATATGATTAAACTTGATTTTAAGGCAGAATTAACACTTTTAAGTTGAAACACCTTTCCCCCCCAAAAACATAAAAAAAGAAACATTTCTTCTTCTTATCAATGTTGTACATTTATTTGAAATAGAAATTTTTTGTTACATTATAAATGGCTTTACTGGCATGAATGGTTACTTTACTTGAATGGTAGTTTACATTATATGACCTTTTACTCAGGATGTGACCCTTTAAAAATAACACATAATTAGCTCTTACTTTATAAGGTGGATACAGAAGAGGAAGTCCTCCTATGAAGGGACTGTCAGTTCTCTGTAAACTCATGACTGTTGTGAAATTGCTTGGAATACTTCTGACAGTCCTAAAGCCTGAAATAGTGACTTCAGCTGCACACGGAGAAAGATACTGTCTGTGGAAAACAAAGATAAAAACAAAATAAAGAACAGTGTGATATGCATGTGGACAAAATGGTCTAATGGTCTTGTTATAAATCAACATTTTAGGTCCCTGTTTCCTGTATCTCTTCACCTAATGGTGGTAAATGCACTCAATTAATGATCTTTAGTATTAACACCACAGGCGTCTTTTAAGGCAATTCAGTTTATGTTAATAAGATACATTTGCTATGCCTAAAGTAGAACACAATTACTTTAAAAGCTAAGCACTGCTAATGCCCGCTTTATCTGTTATTATTTTCCTTTTTTTTATATTCAGACCAAAAACAGGTTATGGTGAATGACTCATAATGACTGTATTGTTTCCATGGATACATGAGATATAGGAAGGCACTGAGAAAGAAAAAGGGTCCACAGTGAATTCATTAGCCAGTACAGCATTTAAAATATCATGGTTATCATAGCTTTCAAAAAAAAATCCACTAAATAAAACAAATGATTTGCTCTGCTCAAGGGCGTCTTTCACCTGCGGCTAATTATTTCCCCTCTTCCTTTTAAAGACATCTTATGCATCTTGGACAGACTGTTCCGGAGATGTACCCAAGCCTTGGGAGTTTTCCAAAGCTTATTCTGCCCTTCCAAACAACAGGGGAGGAAAGATAATTACCTCAGTGTGGATTCTGGGATAACTATGTGCAGCTGGAGGATTGGCCTACAGATGCTCAGCTCATAATGGCAGTATCCCCCCAGCCTTGATATCCGTCTCCCCATCTTCTGAGGTTCAGAGAAGCCAATCTTGACTGATTTGTTAAGCCTGTAATTCACAGGCTGTGGAGTTTTTCTCTTGATTTGCTCCACACCTCAGGAGGAAAGACCTGCTCAGGCCCTGGACATCCTCCCTCTGGAGCAGCCGGAGAGACTGTTAATTTAGAAGAGCTCCGCCAGAGCAGCCTGGCATCTCGCCAGAGAGCCACTGGTCCCATTGAATCTTTGAGCAGACAGTTCCCCAGCAGGACACACAGAAGAACGGCGTGGCGGGCGGGCTTGCGGTAACCACATGTGACAACCCCGGGCTGGACTCCACTTCATCCACAGTGAAAGCAGATTCGGCGAATCAACAGTGCAAAGTTGATGTATTTCCTCAGCGACCAGCACGGATCAGCTCTAGGCATGACGAAGCAGATAGCGTCCTCTTTTGGAAGACCAAACAAAGTAGTTTCGCTTTCACAACAAAACACACAGCGCCTTCACGACATGGTGGCGGCGGCAACAACAATACTACAGCGAGAATAAAAGTTACGCCTTCTTTCTTTGCGTGAACATTTGGGCGGCATTATGCAAATCTTCCCACATCGTGACGTAGACATGTGGGGGTGTGCTAGAACGAGTCGTTTTAGGTCGGCGTGGGTGACTCTTAACTTTTATAAAGAATATCTCTTTGGATTTGAGACTTTAGTCTTTGCAACTTTACAGATCTGCTTTATGCACCAAGAGCTTGTAACACTCCAAAGAGAAAGGAAAAATTGAAATCGCTTCATATGACACCTTTAAGTTGATTTTTGTGGTGTTGTTGTTATTTTTCAAAAGTTTGGGGTTGGGAATTTTTTTTATCTTTTTGAAAAAAGTGCAATTTTGAAAAAATTGATGTTTTCTATTTTAATATATTTTAAATAGTAATTTATTGCTGTGATGACAAAGCTGAATCTTCAGCAACCATTACTCCAGTCTTCAGAGTCACATGATCCTTTAGAAATTATTCTAATATGCTGATGATGTGAGAGTTGAAAACAGTGATGAACTGCAAAGGTACAAATGCTACACTAGAATTTTTACTGTGACAAATCAGCGAATAATTTCTTTTTGAACAAACTGACTCACTAATATGAATCGTTTCAAATGAACTTAGACTTCCAAACACTGCCCCAAAACTGTATTGATTCCTGATGCAAAATCAGATTCAATTACCTGCAGTTGTCAACATTGTTCCTGGCAATGGCATGGTCCACACGGAATCTTCTGAGCGTATTAATTTCTATTATTTCAATGCAGCCAGTATAGTTGTGGAAAGGCTCAGCTTCCTGAGGGAACACAGAACAACAACAAAGTCTCAAGCAGTTTCTTCAGAGGAAAACAGAAAAACATCTCAGGCCTAAGGGTGAAAATGAAAAATGGCTACAAAGCAGCTATTCTGGGAGAAGAAAGTGCCGTACAACAAAGAGGTTGCATTATAAGGCATTAAGTTCACCCAAAAATGAAAATTCTGCCATTATTTACTCTCATGTCATTCAAAAAAACAAACAAACCTGTTTTATTTCTCCTTTGGAACATAAAAGTAGATATGCTAAACAACTGTTATAGAAATCTTTCCATACAACAATTCACAGTGACCAAGGGCTCTCAAGGACAAAACACACATCAACAAAAGTAGTTCACATGACTTTTGCACTACATTCTAAGTCTTGACACAATGCAATGCTTTGTGTGATGAAAATACTTGCATTTTAGTTATTCACAGATTCAATTTTCACTTTTGCCTTTTTTTGTTTTTTGAAAAGGCGTTGGACATTATGAGCTGTTGTTGTATGTCACAAGCTGCATAAAGACTCTTCAGAAATGTCACCTTTTGTGTTACATAAAACATTTAATAGCATTAGCATCTGTTTAAAATTGATAAAGGAACGTGCATATTTATTAATACAATGACACTTTCACCTAATAAACATATATTTATAAATGCCACAAATGCTACTGAATAGTTTTAAAGGCAATAAAGATTATTCAAATAAGACAGAAATGGCTCAAACAACATTACCAGATGGACAAACTGCACTGATGACAAAAAAAACTAAACAAAACAAAAAAAACCCTCTATTTCATTATCAGCGCTATGAAAAGAGAAAAAAGCATATGGATCCAATCTTTGTTGTCTAGGTGAAGACATCTCAACATCTCCTTTTTCTTCTCCTAACAGTATCTCAAGTGCCCGTGACCTGCTTCCAGCCGCCTGAAGGAAAATGAAAAGTGTGCCTGCTAGTTTCTCAGGGCTTTATCACTGTCAATATGTAGACCTTGACAGTTCTTTGAAGCCCTCTGAACCAGTTTTTAGTAACCTGAAAATTACAGGAAAATTCATGTCCATTTTAATCCAATTTAAGTCAGATGCGTCTCTGCGGTAACTGGTCAGGTTATTGTGTAACATGACAAAGGCAAACCATCAATCTTTCCTTGTTTCCACATTATAATCAGAGTTCCCAGCTGGCCTAAGAATTACAGTGACTTTTCAAACTTTCCAGTAATCAACAAAGTGTAATGTCACTATCTTATCACTAAAGATAGTGTTAACTCTAGTTCTCCAATTTCAAGGTGGAATTATATAGTAAAAAATTTATGTCAAGTTAAAAATAATTATATATATAATTGTGATAGCTATCATAACTTACCAATTAAAACAGTTCAATATGATTAAACTTGATTTTAAGGCAGAATTAACACTTTTAAGTTGAAACACCTTTCCCCCCCAAAAACATAAAAAAAGAAACATTTCTTCTTCTTATCAATGTTGTACATTTATTTGAAATAGAAATTTTTTGTTACATTATAAATGGCTTTACTGGCATGAATGGTTACTTTACTTGAATGGTAGTTTACATTATATGACCTTTTACTCAGGATGTGACCCTTTAAAAATAACACATAATTAGCTCTTACTTTATAAGGTGGATACAGAAGAGGAAGTCCTCCTATGAAGGGACTGTCAGTTCTCTGTAAACTCATGACTGTTGTGAAATTGCTTGGAATACTTCTGACAGTCCTAAAGCCTGAAATAGTGACTTCAGCTGCACACGGAGAAAGATACTGTCTGTGGAAAACAAAGATAAAAACAAAATAAAGAACAGTGTGATATGCATGTGGACAAAATGGTCTAATGGTCTTGTTATAAATCAACATTTTAGGTCCCTGTTTCCTGTATCTCTTCACCTAATGGTGGTAAATGCACTCAATTAATGATCTTTAGTATTAACACCACAGGCGTCTTTTAAGGCAATTCAGTTTATGTTAATAAGATACATTTGCTATGCCTAAAGTAGAACACAATTACTTTAAAAGCTAAGCACTGCTAATGCCCGCTTTATCTGTTATTATTTTCCTTTTTTTTATATTCAGACCAAAAACAGGTTATGGTGAATGACTCATAATGACTGTATTGTTTCCATGGATACATGAGATATAGGAAGGCACTGAGAAAGAAAAAGGGTCCACAGTGAATTCATTAGCCAGTACAGCATTTAAAATATCATGGTTATCATAGCTTTAAAAAAAAAATCCACTAAATAAAACAAATGATTTGCTCTGCTCAAGGGCGTCTTTCACCTGCGGCTAATTATTTCCCCTCTTCCTTTTAAAGACATCTTATGCATCTTGGACAGACTGTTCCGGAGATGTACCCAAGCCTTGGGAGTTTTCCAAAGCTTATTCTGCCCTTCCAAACAACAGGGGAGGAAAGATAATTACCTCAGTGTGGATTCTGGGATAACTATGTGCAGCTGGAGGATTGGCCTACAGATGCTCAGCTCATAATGGCAGTATCCCCCCAGCCTTGATATCCGTCTCCCCATCTTCTGAGGTTCAGAGAAGCCAATCTTGACTGATTTGTTAAGCCTGTAATTCACAGGCTGTGGAGTTTTTCTCTTGATTTGCTCCACACCTCAGGAGGAAAGACCACCAGGCCCTGGACATCCTCCCTCTGGAGCAGCCGGAGAGACTGTTCAGCCTGGCATCTCGCCAGAGTGCCACTGGTCCCATTGAGTCTTTGAGCAGACAGTTCCCCAGCAGGACACACAGAGAATGCTCCTTTTACTTCGTAATGCTTTAAAGGCGACAATAAAGCACAGCATGGCCCTTTATAATTGTTTCACAGGTTCACTCTGTCATGTGAGACATGAATAAGGGAGCGAAACTTAAATTGTACCTTTAAATTTTTTTTTATATTTTTCCCTGTGTTCCACTTATATCATTTTGTGCACCAAAACTGGTTGTTACCGAATTTTACATGACCATTTTCCACCCTCTCTGTGAACCTCAGAACTGAACAGGTTGCTTTGTGTACAACTGTGCCTTTAAGAATTTTAAATGCTCCTTACCACGGTTGGGCAAAATTCAGAATTTAAGAATCCTTTTAAGTTTATGAGCTTGAATTCGAATAAAATTGTTCACGACCCAAAGGACGTTTAATTAGAATATGAATTGGAATGTCAGAAAGAGGAAACACTGAATTACAATTAAAAAAAATTCAAAACAAACACACAAGAGAGAAATCTACCTAATTTGTAAACAAAACTTGACTAAAACTAATGACTATTATGCTCTTTTACAAACTCTTGATTTTGTTTTGGGGGTGTACTAGAACAGGCTCTCATACTAGGTCGTTCGAAAAACACATAATTTTTCTAATATTTTACATTATTACAACACCTCTCTCCCCAGTCTGGCATGAACCGCTCGAATAGTTCCTGTATCAAATGAAGGCCCGCCTTCTGAAATACGAAATGTGCTGTGATTGGTTAGCTGGGCCAGTGTGTGTTGTGATTGGCAGCACTATGCGCCTGGTCGGGAAATGTCATGCCCCTTACCATAGCCACCTGCAAGCTTCAGCGTAAATATTGCGTCAAAATCAAATCAATCTGAGTGCGATTTAAATTTTAATTCATTTACTATGACAATGCAATGCCTAAAACCAAATAAACCAAATAAATGACGAGAACAGTTACATCTTAAAGGGGTCATATGATGCGATTTCAAGTTTTCCTTTCTCTTTGGAGTGTTACAAGCTGATTGTGCATAGATAAGATCCCAGAACTTGCAAAGACTAAAGTCTCAAAACCAAAGAGATATTCTTTACCAAAGTTAAGACTCTGCCACGCCCCCCTAAAACGGCTCGTTCTGACACGCCCCCACATATCTATCTCACTATGTGGAAATATTAGCATAATGCCGCCCAAATGTGCACGCAAAGAAAGAAGGCGTGGTTTCAGTAACCGCAGTTAGTGTTGAAGCAGCCATGTCAGGGAGACGCTGTGTGTTTCTAAGCGACAGCAAAAGCACTTTATTTGGCCTTCCGAAAGTAGATGCATTTAGGAATCTTTAAGATTACTTACAACAGAACAGCAATGCATTTTATGGACGACCATTTCGTGAACCTAGGAGAGGAGGTAATTCTGACTTTGCTATGACAATCTGGCGCTTCTGAATCAGCTACTGTTTTGTTATTAGTT